TTGCCATTCAAAGGACTGTCTACATTAGGGTCGACAGTTTGGGGCGAGGGCGCTGCATCACCTATTGCAGCTGCAGCAGCAGCAGCAGCGGCAGCTGCTGCTGCTGCCTCCCGGTGCTTCTGGGGACCCGCAAGCAACAACAGCTCCACAAATGCTGACTGCAACATCGGCAACAGAGCCAATATCAAATCAAGAAGCACCTGCTGGTGCTGCTGCTGCTGCTGCATGTCTTCGCTCTGCTGCTGCTGCTGCTGTTGCTCCTGCTGCTGCTGCTGCTGCTGCTGTCCGTTGGGAAGATGGATTGCTGCAGGCGGTGCTTCGGGGCCACTGCAACAACAGGAACAACGTTTGTCGATGCAGCTGCTGCAGCTGCTGGAGGTGCTGTGCTGCTGCTGTATCTGCTGCTGCAACAGCAGCAGCAACTTGAAGGCACGGCTGAAGTTCCCCAGCCGCAGACTTGCGGCTAAGCCTCGAGCCCACGTGGCTGTACAGAACCGGTGCTGCTCTTGCTGCTGCTTTTGCTGCTGTTTTTGTTGCTGTTCTTGCTGCTGCTGCAGCAACTGCTGATGCATGTTCGTTACCAAGGTCAAAACAGCCCCAGTGTTGCTGCTAGCAGTGCTAACTGCAGCAGCACCAGTTGCTGCAGCTAGCAGCAGCCTACAAGCTAGAGTATATAGCAGCAGCTGACGGTGGCTTGCTGCAGCAGCAGCAACGGCATGCGCTGCTTCTGTTTGTGTTGGTACTGCTGCTGGTGCTGCTGCTGCTGCCGACCGCTGCAGCAATTGTTCTAATGCTGCGCAGCAAACAGTAGCCTCTGAGGTATCAGCTGCTGCTGCTGCTGCTGCAAGGTTCTGCAGCAGCAGCTGCAGCAGGAACCTATCCGCCTCTGCCCGCTCGTATCTGGCGGAAACAGCAGAGTCAACAGCTGCAGCTGCTGCGGCAGCACCAGCAGGAGATGTAGCTGTTGATGCAGCAGCAGCAGCAACAGCAGCAGCTGGAGCATCAACGTGCACTGCAGCAGCAGATGTTTCTGACGACGGTGTAGAGGCAGCAGGAGAGGTGTCTGCTTCTGC